AGCAGGGAAGAGGGATTTTTTTTTTTTAAGCTGTGGAGAATCGAGTGTATTTTTGGAGAAAGGTGAGGAGAGGGAGTAATCACAGATGTAAGGGGTTGTGGTGGGTGGCTAATGGATGGCCCAAGGTCCAGCCATGCAAATACACGGACATGGTGCCTCTCACTCAGAATTTAGCTAATGCTTTGCCTCCCCAGGGGCGTCAGTACTCCTGTGCCAATCCTGGAGCCTTGAGCCCTTCAGTAGGGGATGTGCTCTTGAGTGGAGAGGGCATGGCAGCAAGGCAGAGAGTCTGGGTCCTGATGTGAGGAGGGGGCAGCTGGTGTCATTGGGTCTCATCAGGGAAAGTGCATGGGGGCAGCTGCAAAGGTGGATGGCATGGGCATCCACAGAACAGGAGTCAGGGGACTGTCCCCCAGCTGTGGGGCCCAGCCTCCTCACAGGGACGATTACCAGTGGACTCAGTAGTAGAGTCTACAGAAGTGTGAGCAGGGCTAGGCTCTCAGGAGGCAGAGTAGGTCAACACTCCACTCCCAACCTGCTGATTAAACCCCCAGCTCTCACCCTTGCCCATCAGCATCCTTTGAAAAGATGGTAAAGTGAAACAGCTCCATGTTCTCTGGGCCTGATGGCTCTCACTCACTACTTCTGTATTTGACATGGGGCTCTGGGGTAAGACTAGCTTTTTTTTTTTTTTTTTGAAGATTAAAAAAAATTATTTGAGAGAGAGCACAAGCAGTGGGGAGCAGTGGAGGTTGGATTCGATCCCAGGACCCTGGGATGATGACCTGAGCCATAGACAGATCCTTTTTTTTTTTTTTTTTAGGATTTTATTTATTTATTTTTGAGAGACACAGAGAGAGGCAGAGACATAGGCAGAGGTAGAAGCAGGCTCCCCACAGGGAGCCTGATGCAGGACTTGATCCCAGGACCTCGGGATCACACCCTGAGCCAAAGGCAGATGCTCAACCACTGAGCCACCCAGGTGTCCCTAAGAAGTAGCTTTTTGTCTTCATCTCCTCTTCTACCTATGGAGAGACTCATCTCAAAGCATGAGTCACAGAGCTTTTTAGGAAACACAGTGCTGTCTTTGGGAAAAGTGAGAGATTCTAGGAATACATGGTCCAATATACGTATATATAGGAGGGATCCTGCACATCTAGAGGTCCTCCCAGCCTTTCCAGCATATAACCCTGACTTAAAATAAATGGATATGTGGATGAATGCACATTGAGAAAAACAAAGACAAAATGCACCCCCCTCACACCCTGGTACCACACCACATGGTGCTCTAGGAAACATCATACCAGCTGCAGTCACTCCAAGGCACAGAGCCTCCACTGGCTGAAGTCTGGGCAGGGTGTTAATGTCTGTGTGTTGCACAGGTGGGCAGGTGGATGCCAGGGTTGGAGCAATTATTGTGAAAAAAAAAAGTAAGATTTTAGAGAAAGTCTGGACCTCTTACCTCTGTACCATTAACTCTTTTCCATTTTCTTTCTTCTCAGTACTCCTAAATTATATATCCTTCACCACGAGATTTTATTTTTTCTCTGTTTCATTCACCATGTGTTAGGTATGAATGCCTACCAACAGATGAGGAAGCAGGCCAACCAATGGGCAAGAGCCACATACCTAGTAAATGGTGGAACCAGGGTTTGAACAGGTCTATGACTCCAAGTGTTCTTCACCCTACACCCTCTGTAGCTCCCCCTTTCTAATGAAGGCTGGCTCCCAGTTGGGAGAGGGAAGTATGATGACATCTTCAGAACCTCAACATTCAGGAACTTTATGTAAGACTCCAGGGAACCAGCAAATCATTTTGTGTCTCCAGGTCCACCCTATAGGACAGGATTGCTATTCTGCTCCTGGCTCCCCATGGTCCCCCCCTTTTTGCTGACAGTGTGGCCAAAGCACTGGGTGATGGTATCTGGGATGTCCAAACAGGCCTTCCACAGAGATCCAGAACCAGGGCTGGTGGCTGTATTCTGATATCCAGGAATGGAGCCTTCATTATCATGTCCTCTTGCTACCATATGCAATATTGTTAGAGCTGAAACCTAGACTGGGCCTCTGAGAATAACTCTCAGATCCACATTGCCAAACTGCCTTCCTGAGGGATCCTCTGCCATGTCTGAAAGGTGAGGAAGGCTACCTATGGAAGCTGTGGTGCAGGGATCCAGAGGCTGCCACCATTCCTGCTGCCATTCCTACTCCACATTGCTTCTTGACATCCATGAATCTGGTGAGTGGACACTGCAGTGCCGTTGCAATAGGAAAGCCATTGCCTACCCCAACTGCTCCTTACCCAAGTGTCTCTGACTTTGCTAGGCAGCAGAAATCATCAAAACAGCAGGAAAGTGACCTCTGTCTCCTTACTGCCTCCCAGATCTCTCCAGTTCATCCAACTAGCAGAATATAATTCACATCTGGACTACTAGCTGCAAAGATCTGATAAATATGGCTTAAAAAATGTCTGGCTGCTGCAAAACAAAAAGGGGTTTAAGATGGATGCTGAGAACTAAACCACCTTATATGATGAGAAAAAGTACTGAATACTTATAAAAATGTACCAAACATTTTCTAAGAAGCTCTGGCTTCACATTTATTCAATGAAATTAAAAAATATATCTAATGTCTCTGAAGATTATGGGCTTGTTCACATTTGCCAAGAGTCCCCTTAATCATCCAGTGGGTGGCTTCTCTCTACAAACATCACCATTGCAAAGTTCAGAAGGCTTTTTCTCCATTAGGAGATTATATCCTAAAAAAGAATTAAGTTATAAAAATAATACAAGTATTATTTAGGTCTGAAAAATATAGCAAAAATACTTTTAATGCCAGGTCACTATCACAATGACCACTTCCTTCTTCCCATGTGCATAATATTTACATCTTTATAAATGTCATATTTATAGAGGTTTGTGTTTTTCTTCACCCAACATTGTATCATACTCATTTCCCATCTTATTGCATAATACAACCACAATTTTTAATGGCCCCATAATAGTTTACGAATATACATGTCATAATTTACTCAGCCATTCCCTTCTAGTTAAACATTTCAATTGTTTCCAATTATTTAGTATTATAAAGAGCGCTTTGAAGAGGAGATTATGAATACTTAGACTTTTGTGGCACATTCCCAGAAGTGGAGCAATAACACATACTGGTTAAAAGGTATCCATTTTTAAATGAGTATCAATGGCTTTTGGTTAATGTTTCTTAAAAATCACCTATGGTAAAAGCAGGGAAAATTTTCTCTGCCAACCACTAAACAAAGAACTTCCTTCTCCCTGTGACATCCTTAAAGGGGAATTATGCCTTTGGCCTTGAAGACTTGATGCACAATACATCACTGTATCTGAAATCCCTGAGAGGTGCCTAGGTTGCTGTGACCTGAATCTTGGGACCAGGGTGAGAGTAGAGTGGGTGCAGCATCTTCAGGCTCTCCCCCACCCTTTCATATCTCAAGGCCCAGCTCTTCTGACCAGAAGGCTTCTCTGGATAAGGTGTCTGGTACCTTAGAAGTGCCAAGTGGCAAGCCCTGGAACATGCACTTTTAGGTATGCAGATGCCATGCTTTCATGGAGACTTCCATAGACAGACAGGTCATTCCTCTACTTTTTGATTTCTCCCTCTTCCCCGAGATAAAGCAAGACAGTATTGTTTAGGTTGAAATAAAGCCTGGGTTACACTTTTGGAAGTCAGCATGGGATACTTTAAGAACCAGGAGACCAGAGTCTTAAAAGGCAGGCAGATGCAATGCTGCAAGATTTTACTCAGGGCCACTTTGCACCTGAGAGACCAGCCTCTAAAGACCTCGCAGGCATACCAGTCCTGAGAAAAACGCGCTTAAGAGGCCTCAGAGAGGTTCCATTCTGATGCCTACTCATGTCTTTCGATCAGTCCAGGGCAGTGGGGCTTTAAGTGTCCTTTTTTTTTTTTTTTTTTAAAAAGATTTTATTTATTTATTCATGAGAGACAGAGACAGAGAGAGAGAGAGAGAGAGAGGCAGAAACATAGGCAGAGGGAGAAGCAGGCTCCATGCAGGGAGCCGGATGTGGGACTCGATCCTGGGACTCCAGGATCATGCCCTGGGCGGAAGGCAGGCGCCAAACCGAGGAGCCACCTAGGCATCCCTTAAGTGTCCTAATGAGGATAAGAAGAGAAACAAATTTAGCTCTATGTGTTCTAATGAGATGAAAAAATTTCCACTAAATGAATGTTCTCTCCAACAAAGCAGCCTCGCACAGGGGCTTGAGTTTTATTTTTTTTAAATTTTTTTTATTTATGATACTCACACACACACACAGAGGCAGAGACATAGGCAGAGGGAGAAGCAGGCTCCATGCACCCGGAGCCCGACGTGGGATTCGATCCCGGGTCTCCAGGATCGCGCCCTGGGCCAAAGGCAAGCGCTAAACCGCTGCGCCACCCAGGGATCCCAGGACCTTGAGTTTTAGCTCTGTCTCCTCCACCGTAAATGCCCTTGTGTTGCACAAAAGAGGCTGCTGCCCCCCAGATTTTGCGCAGTGAGTCTCCAATTCTAGAACTCCACTCCACCCCCCCCACGTGGCCCCCCCCGCCCCCCTCCGATCCAGCCATCGGTAACTGCCCCATAAATGGCATTCGCAGTAACTGTCCCCACTCGAGGCCTGAGGAATGCCAGTGCTTGCTGAGCAACAGTGTTTGCAAAACCCCGGGCTCCGGGGAAGGATTAACCGTTGTTCCTGCAGCCCTGGGCACGTCCCCCCCCCCGCCGCGGGCCCAGACGACCCTCCCCAGGGACCGCCAGCCCCGTCCCCGCCCCGCCTGCGCCGAGCGCGGCAGCACCCCCGAGAGGCACCACAACTTCCCGGGACACCCCAACGTCTCCTCTCGCCCCCGTCCGGTTGCTTGGAAATTTGCACTGGACGGTGACGTCACACAGGAAGGCGGGTCCCCAGGGTCCCGCACGCCAATGGCGCGGCCGCGGCCGGCCTCTTCTTTTCCAGCGATTGGTGTCTCGGGCCCCTTGGCTCCACCCCAGCCCGCCATGGCGTCAGGCGCCGCAAAACCGGGGAGGTGGTTCCCACTTTAAGAAGTGAAGTTTTTCGCCCCCTCCCCCTCCCTGCCCACCTCCTGCAGCCTCCCGCGCCCCGCGGAGCTGGCGGATGGAGCTGCGCTGCGGCGGCGTAGGGAGCCAGGCTGTGGGGCGCAGGATGGATGGGGACAGCCGCGATGGCGGCGGCGGCGGCTGCAAGGACGCCGGGTCGGAGGACTATGAGAACCTGCCGACCAGCGCCTCCTTATCCACGCACATGACAGCCGGAGCGATGGCCGGGATCCTGGAGCACTCGGTCATGTACCCGGTCGACTCGGTGAAGGTGAGGCGCGCGGGGACCTCAGGCACCGGGCGGGCGGAGCGGGGAGCGGGGAGCGGGGAGCGCGCGCGCGTGCGCTTGCATCCCGCGCGAGCAGCCTGGGGGAGCGCCCCGAAACCACCTCCGCTCCCGGCTGCGCGGGGCGCGGGGCGCGGCACCCCGGGTCTCCTTCCGTCGCGCGCCGGGGCCCCGGGGCCGCCCCCAGCCCCCAGCCCCCAGCCCCCAGCCCACGAGGGGGCCCCGGCAGGCGCCGCGCACCGCCGCTCGCGCCGCCTTCCCGACCCGGGCTGCTGGCGGCGCTGCGGCGGGGGAGGAGGACTGGCGAGCGCCCCCGGGCTCGGCGGCGGCGGCGGGGTGCCCGAGGGAGGCGATCGGTGCGGCTTTGCACGGTTTTACCGCGCCTGCCCACGCGGTGCCGGGGCTTTGGGCGCGCGCGCTGCCCCGCGGGTCGGTGCGGGGCGGCCCAGGCTGCCCACACGTGCGCAGTGTCCGAGGGAGCCCGGCAGCTGGCCCGCAGGCGCTCGGCACGCTCAGCGCTGAGAAACGTGGCCCCGGCCTGGGTGTGTGGCCTCTGCTCCCCGGGTCCCTGGGGAGGCGTGGGAGGGGCAGGGGTTCTACCGGTTCTTGGCAGCTCTCTCGGGCATACCGGTTCGGCGACGCTCCGCGTGATCCCCGTTTCTCAGGGTGTCTGCGCCTCTTCCCGCAGAAGTTCGCGCAGCCGAGCAGCCCACAGGCAAGGGAGCCCTGCAGTGACATTTGCCTTCTCTTTTTGTTGCCGGGAAGGCAGGCAAGGAGAGCATATGCTATGCTATAACGACTCTTTAACTGTGGGTTGTGTAATAGGCACTCACTTGGTTTGCTCGCCCTTCCCCGAGGTAGTTTTACGTGCATTTTTGCAAGGAGGCAGCGTTAGCCAGGTGGATTTTTCCTGTTAGGCTAGAGCTGCCTTCTGCCTGCCTGCCTGTATATAGGACACCCAGTGGCAGGAAGGTAGTCCTGGTATTGATGTCTTGCACTTTTGTGGGCGTCACTCATCGAATCCGTTCAGCAGCCCAGGGATTAACAGATGAAGAAACTGAGGCAAAGAGATCTGAACTGATTCACCTGGCCAGGCTCATACTCCACCTGTTTCCTCTGACTCCAGCCTTAGAGTGCTTTTGGGGATTTGGGGGGCCTCTCCGGGTGGCAGTTCTCTTGAAAGGCGGGACCCCACAGAGCCCCCATGTCGGTGGCTGTGTCTTGTTGCTGAGGCTGGCTCCACTTTGGTGGGGGGGGCCGGTGTGAAGACCAGAATGTCTAAGACCGGGTTTGCCCTGCCCTGGGCAGCTCTCAGCGAGCTAGCCGTCAGTGCACAGATAGGAATCCAGTGAGAGAAAGTGTGGGCATTTGTAGTAAGGTGAGGCCCAAGCCTTTGAATGTGTTTCAGGGCCTGGGGCAAACTCTTGGAGAGTCACTCTTCTGACCCTTCAGAATCCCCAGGGGGGATTAAGGGTTAGCTGCCTGGGTTATGGAGGGCCTGGGGGCAGATCTTGCCCCGCAGGTTTTCACAGCTTCTCCAGGAAAGACCCTGGACACATACCAGGTGGCATTTGTATAGGAAAGAATCCATCTCTTGTAATAAAATTTCCCATATTCGAAGCTGTTGTCTCCAGTGCCTTGGACAGAGTATGGGGAAAGTTAGGGGCAGGGAGATGTTATTCCAGCAGGCACCAGACCCACAGGGTGGCTGAGATGAACGTCCCATTGGAGAGCTATATCACCTGTGAGATTTTGCTGAGTTTGGTTCAGAGCATCACTAGAGCTTATCTTCAGGGTTGGATGTAATTAGTCATGCCTTCTCACCTTCGTCTGTCAGTCTAAAGAGGCATCTGTCTTATATGTTCTGTGTTTAGTTTCTTCCCTGCCTTGCCTTCTGCCCTGTAGACGTTTTATGTTTTAGTCCACATGTCCCTGTGTGCTTAGTATTATTTTACATAGCAGTTTTCACCTCTGGATAGGCAACAGGATTGGCTGTCCCAGACAAGTCACTCACCTTATGGGGCGTGACATGAAGGCCTGGGTTAGCTCATTAGTGAGGGAGTCCTCCTTTGTTTAAGCATGCAGGTTGAGTTGGAAAGCACCTCATTTTTCACGACAACTTTCTTGGAAGGGGGTAGCAACGATTATTCTTTTCATTTTCCAGCTGAGACAAAAGGCACACACACAGAGAGTTAAGTGGTGGGAGTCCTGCTGCATGGTCCCAGGGAGGCTACAGCCCAGTGCCGAGTGCCGAGGTCTGCTGAGATCAGCACAGTTGTCTGTGCCCAGCATGACATATCAGGGACGCATCCATGCCTCAGTCATGGAAATGCTTCACTTGGGGAGACCTCGACTGTGTTCTTCTTAAATATTTTGGATGGTGGAGACCATGAGTAATGGAGACAGGAGCCCTGGCTGGGGTTTCCAGCCCTGCTCCTAACTTTCTTCATGCTTTAGGCACTGTTCTGTATCTTAGTTTTGTCACTGTAAAATGGGGGCTATGGGCCATTTGAGTATTTCTCCCCATTTTTAATCTGTCCCCCTTTCTGTGTACACAGAAAACCTATTGTCCTCTTTTACGATACTTGAAATTCCAAATAATTATTACAGTCGAAGCCATGGCAGTGTCAATTGTATGTCGGCAAAAAATTTTTCTCTGATTTTATAAGGCACACGTTTTGAACTGTGAATATGTGAATTAAGTGAGGGTATCAGGTGGGCCTGCTTTTTCCAGTTTTTCCATCCTAGATGCTGTGGTCCATGGAACTCAGTGCTGGTCACTTTGACCACTGAGCCAGGAGCTGCTTGCTCTTGTGGTCATAAGGGCAGAAAGCCAACCTTACTGATGCTTAACATTATTATGTTAAATATGTTTCCCATGAAGTCCCATCCTAACACTCCGCCTCCCGTGTGACTTTAATTACCTGTATTTTTCAAACTGTGTCTTGGCATCAACATTTTAAGAAAGATCAGTCTTTCTAATGGTGAGAGTAAAAAATGCAAGTGTGTGTGTGCCATACAGTAAGAAGCCTTGCTTGGTGAAGTTGTTTGGGTTTTGTGTGTGTGTGTGTGTGTGTGTGTGTGTGTGTGTGTGTCCCCTGGATGGCTGTGTCAAATCCCCTTCTGACTGGGGGTTACAGCCAAAAAAGAACACTGAACCTGATGATCACTAATGTCTCTCGAGCTCCAGCAGTCTGTGATTATTAAAGGGTTATTTGGAAGACCTTTGGCAACTTTGCTGTTCCTTCCTGTGCCGCCTTCCCTCACTTAGTCCCTAGGGGTGGAGTGTGAGTGCTTACGAATCTGCAAAGGGCTAGGGCCAGGTCACTGGGACCTCCTGTCGGTTCCTGCTCCCTGTCTGGTCTGCATGGTACCAAGGGAGGGAGCATATGGGGGCCCTGCAGGGCTTTCGCCAACAGTAGCAATTACTCGTTTCTTTCAACTGGGGCTTTGCAGCGGGTTTTCCTTGATTCTCTAGCGGGTGCTCCCGAGTGGCCAAGTGGCGTGATCACCTAGACCCGCGCGTGGGGTGGCTGTGAGAAGCCCTGGTCGGGAGTGCTCAAGACTGTGGGGAGAATGCCAGGTGGGTGGAGGAGGAAATTCCAACCAGATTAGGCACACCACTCTAGACCATGTCGAATCCCGTGGTGGTGAAAGCGGGGGGCAAAAGGAAACAGGAAAGATTTGAAGCGAGGCAGCTTCCGCTGGCCCTTTCTCAGCCCTTCTCTCTGCTTCTCAGGGAAGCGCGGTCCCTAATTGTGCTGGGAGAAGCCCTGCTTCCCAGCCGGGCGCACAGTCCACGGCGAGGAGAGGACCGCGAGGGCCTGAGGCTCGCCTTCTCTCGAGGAGCTGGTGGGTGCTGAGCCAGTTGGAAACCTCGGTTGGCCTCAGGGGTTTCTGGAGCTGCAGTGACCAGGCAGGTGCCAGGATGGCTCAGCATTCCTCAGCTTTCGAGTTTGCTCCACCACCCTCCCCGCCCGGGGTCCCGGCCTTGCAGGCCTGCTGGGAGCCAGGGTGCTCAGCGGGGTGGGGGGGGGAGGCTGCACCCACTGCAGCGTTTTCGAAACCAAGTACAATTCAGTAGATGCCATTCAGCTTCAAAAGGGCGTGAAATCCCAAATTGCTCGAGTTCTTGCGAGAAAATTATAGTGATTTTTCCGTCTCTCTTCTCCTGTCTTGTCTCCTTTAGGTCCTTCCCCTCCCCTCCCCCCGTTTTTTTTCCGGCCTTAAGTGGGTGATGCTTTTCTCAAAGGTGCATTTGGAAGGGGCACAGAATGAAGAGAGGTGTACTCTTGAACTTGTGTCCTTTTGTTTGCCTCGTGACTGCCCCTGCTGATGCCCGGAGCCTGGATCTGCACCTTTGCAGGCCTGCCCGGGAAGAGGGGGAGGACCTTACCCAGCCCCCTCAGCCCGGAAGTGGGGGAGGGGCGGGCTGGGGCAGGCCTTGGGAGGGCGCCCCAGAATTCCAATGGGCAGGGAGGGCGCCCTCCCCTCTTGAGTAGGGAGAGGCAGTGGGCCTTACTGGACACAGTGTACCTGACTGTGTCATTCAAGCACTCAGGGATATGTGCGCGTGTGTCTGTGGAGTGTGTGTCCCAGACCTTTCCTTGGTTTTCTTTCTTTCTTTCTTTTTTTTTTTTTTTAAGATTTTATTTATTTATTCATGAGAGACACAGAGAGAGGCAGAGACATAGGCAGAGGGAGAAGCAGGTTCCCTGCGGGGAGCCCGATGCAGGACTTGATCCCAGGACCCCAGGATCATGACCTGAGCCAAAGGCAGATGCTCAGCCCCTGAGTCACCCAGGCATCCCCTTTTCCTTGGTTTTCTTGAGAGCTTCTGTTCCATCTGCTCTTTGGAGCACTGACCGACTGAAGTCCACTTTCCCTTTTTTACTTCCCTTCCAGCTTTAGGAGGCTGTCTTTCCCCAGCCCACTGGATGAACTGGCTTCTGTGTCAAATGAAGCCTTTGGCAGTCTCTCTTCAA